AAATTTGTAAAAAAAATCCAAATTTGATTGGAATCAGTTCAGACTTTCTACACAACATAAGAACTTGTATATGTATCAGATAAAATTATAAAAATGGAGAATTCCTTACTTTTCATTTTTGGCAAAATTTGGCCTGTGACCCTGTTATAGTACAGGGACTTTTACCCGATTTTGAAGCAACTTTAAAAATTTGTAAAAAAAATTCAAATTTGATCGGAATTAGTTCAAACTTTCTACACAACATAAGAACATGTATATGCATCAGAAAAAGTTATAAAAATGGAGAATTCTCTCTACTTTTAATTTTTGGCGAAATTTGGCCCGTGACCCTGTACTATAGTACAGGGACTTTGGCCCGATTCTGGAGCAACTTTTAAAATTTGTAAAAAAAATCCAAATTTGATCGGAATCAGCTCAAACTTTCTACACAACATAAGAACTCATATATGCATCAGATAAAATTATAAAAATGGAGAATTCTCTACTTTTCATTTTTGGCGAAATTTGGCCCATGGCCCTGTACTATAGTACAGGGACTTTTACCCGATTTTGGAGCAACTTTTAAAATTCATAAAAAATCCAAATTTGATTGGAATTAGCTTAAACGTTCTACACAACATAAGAACATGTATATGCATCAGAAAAAGTTATAAGAATGAGTAATTTATTTTTAGCCATTTTTGACAATGTAATACCATGTGCATGTATTACATCATTAATGACCTCACTGTATAGGACACTGGGTACTTTACCATTGGAGAAGAGAGAAAAGAAGGCAAGGAAAGAAAACCAAATATTATTTAACATAGTATGTCTCTCTCTTTTACAGAAGAAGGACCAGAAGATGCTGAGATATTCACATTAGTTCAACTATCAGAGAATAAAGTTGCCCTCAAGTCAGGGTACGGGCGTTATTTAGGAGTAAATAGCTCCGGAGAGGTTATTGGTAAAGCTGAAGCTGTTGCAGCCAGAGAACAATGGGAAGCCATTTTCGAAGAGGTACATGTACATAATACATGCATCATATTATTATAATATGTACTATGAAATCATTGCTTTATTATTGTTGAGAGGTAACTGATAAATGGTATTGCAATAATATGAATAATGGCTTGCATTTCATATGATATTAGTAAATGATGATTATTAGCAAAATAATGATGATTTATGGAGTAGGTACTCTCATCCTTTTATTTCTTCCCTTCTTTCTACTCAGGAAAGATTTGCTTTGTGTGGTTGTAATCACAGGTTCCTCACTCTAACGTCAGACAACAGGATAATGGCCATAAGCGAGAAAGCTAAAGACAAAGAAATAATGACAGTCAGTAGCTACTTTAAGCAACCACGCCTACTTTATGACCACGCCCATAGTTACGAACTGACGTCCCAGTAGTTAAAAAGGGAAAGAGTGAGTTAGAGATAGAGGAGGAAGATGCTCATAAAGACATGGAAGCATTTGAAACTGGCTTTGTGTAAGATGGCAACATCATAATAGAAATCATAGAATATTTAAATTTTCTTTAGTAAAAAATTTCAAAGTTTTCAAGACCACAAGTTAAGGATTAACAAGACTTCCCGTGACTCACTTTACTCTTCAATGAAGGATGGTAAACTACACGAGGCTCTGTTAGACAGGTGAGTCACAGGATGTGTGGTCACATGACTTGTTGGTTTTATTCCATTTTGTAGGAGAGAAAAGATGAAAGCAGACAGATACTGCAAATAGCATTGTATTGTATTGTATTGTATGTACTTTTTATTACAAAACAAATAAAAATAAAAGAATTAAAATAATACATAATAAAATTTAAAATTTCTTTATGGTTTATATAGTATGTAGAAATAATAATTATATTGGCATGTATAAATAGAATTTGTGTCACTCATATCTCTTTCATTATAATAACTCAACAGGAACTTTTACTCTTCTTGCTGCTAGTTGGGCATAATTCTGGATCAGTCAGTGATTGATCAGCAGCTACTCTTAATCTCTTGCATCCTAAAAAAATACATTACTAGTATTGTATTTAGTTTTGACTTACTGATGTGTTCAGCTGTTGACTTTTTATCACATTGTTCAAGAGACTCAACTAGTGTGGTCCAGTTTGCTCCTCCTTTATCATCTACTCCATCAGCTCTCTGCAACCATGCAGCAATGCACCTTCTAAGGCACACTTCAACTTCAGAGGAGCTTGATTCTATGTCACTCAGTGTTGTATCATACAGGCCCAGTTTCAGTCCTAGATCATACCAACTGCGATTACGAAAATGACCCTCTTTCATGTCAGTCAAGATCTGATCCAAGTCACAAATATTGACTGCTAGTGGACATTGTAAAACTATAATAATAGACAAAAAATAATGATAAATTAAAATTGAGTCAAATTGGTACAACATTAAAAATTAATGTATATACATTTTGATTTACCTGGGATTAGTGCTTCAGGGGTACAATCTGTTAAACTACAGTCTTTTAAATGAAACCAGCACCAGTAGCTCTCATCATCTTCCCTTATATCAGCTGACCTTGTACACAGTGTACAATTGATTTCCAAATAGTCTTCCTCTACAACACAGTAACAGTTCCTTTCCTTAGGACAGTAGAATGCATTAATGTGATTGGGCTTTACATTGATGGTTTTAGCACTTTGATTGACAGCTGTCATGACTACTTCACGAATATATGGGCAATTCTCTTTTGCTTTCTCCACTGATCCATCATAATAAACCTCAATATGTGTGTAGCGATTGATTATGTGAAGTGTGTAACGTTTTCCTTTAATTTTGATCCATAAAGATAATGCATCACGATACTTGTAGTACTGTGGCTTTAATGGAGGGAATTCA